CAATCCCAACTAAGCCGCTCCAATTCAAGACTATAATCTGTTTAGCCTCCCCTATGCTAGCTTGCTTTATGGACTCAAATATTAATTTTCTAGATGCTTGAACACAATGACTCGTTTGTATTTTCACTGGAGTTATTCATCAAACTTTTACCACTACAAGCACGAGCATCGGCGAGTAAGTGCAAACGGTGTTAACACAATATTATACTTATTGTGAAGCCGCAACTGTGCTTAAGAGCTGTCATTTCATGCTGCGCTATGTCGCTGTTCGCCATGATTAGTCGAGACCTACCAATTACGAACAAAACCAACAAATAATCTACACAAAACGCATTGTGTTGTTGTGGAGGGTAATGGCATGACAATTTAACCGATCTAGGTCCGAGTGCGTTACGACCAAACTGCTCATTACAATGCCAATGTAATGGAAACAGAGGGAGTGGAAATGTAAATAGGTAGGCACATATTGAATTGTCATCAAAGTTGTCAGTGCTAAAAATAAAGGCATTGTTTTTATGATAGAAACAATTTAGTCAGAATAATGAATTATGAGGTAGAATAATCATCTGAGATTGTTAGTATTAAAGGGTCATTGAATTTATAGCTATGCTGCAAGAAAAGCACATTTTAGTACATGCACACGAAGTCCTTGACGTTTTGTTATAGTAGCTGGTGCCCTTCGGGTAACTTTAAACGTTCCAGTTTTTAAACAGATAATCCTTAAAACACTAAAATTTTACCACCATTTTTAGTAACAAAGAAGTCTCTTCCCAGTACAAAACGCTGCTCGTTTCAGAAATGTTTTCACATGATTATCAAGTTCATACTCCTGCTTCGAGGGACGCAACAGCCCCAGCTGTTCATTCCGCTGCCTATTGGACAACATTTACCTATAACTTCTCGAAAATGAGAAGATAATGTCATTTCCTGAAACTTTATCTCTGGGGCGTTAGGACCAAACTACTGAATATGACAATGGCATATAGCCATGGAAATAGTTCGTTGATTATGCTAAGTTAAATTTATAGTCGTGTATCAATGGTGTTTCAGTAGTTTCTGTTCATCTGGTGTCGTTTAGCAACCACTATAGAGAAACGATTTTTGAGTTAAGGTAGCAGATTTGACACCCAGAGGTAGTGTAAATGCTTAAATATGTACATAGATTCGTCGCTGAAGCTGTTATTGGTAAAGAATTAAGGCCTTGTAAATGATAGAAACAAGTTAGTAAAAATATTGAATTATGTTGTAGAATAACCATAAATTTGTTTTGCTTTAGGTTATGTAATGCGTATTGTTTTTTTTAAAATATGATATCACAAAAATCGACCTACAGCCACAGATCACCTTCAATGTCCTACTCATATTCGATCCATATTTTTTATTTAATTAAATGAGAATTAACGAAAATCCTGTCAAATTAAAATTAAGTCAGCGGTAAACGTTTAAAAAAAATGTTATAAATCAGTTGCACACTGTATTAATTACATGACTTATATGGTAATTAATTATGCATGTATTTTCATTTGAATGATTAATGAGGATTAACAATTTATTTGAAAACTTTTAACATCGGTTGTTTAATGAATATGCTTCGCTTGGATGTCTGTTTTCCCAGATTTCGCTGTCAGTTTTGTTATTAAGGAAGGTTGCAATAGTTCCGTGGATTAAGAAATTGGAGCAGCATATTCGTCTGATACATTAACTAATTTCGTAACAGGCTCTCCTCACACAGACGAAGTTACATATTGGATATTGTATAAAAAATATCGAGAATTATACGCATTCTCCTATATATGGATGTAGGTCCATAATCAAAACCGGCACCATAACAAACCTTAATATCTAATTTAGCTAATAAATCCAATATCATAATTATATATTTTCATGAAGGATCTAATAAAAGAAGATAAGCTTTTTAAATGTGAGCAAGCAGGCAATAATAGTATTTTATATAAAAAAAAAACTATTTAATAGTAATTACTAGGCAGGCCTATGTAAATCAATAATTTAATATTCCACACAATCGATTCTCCACAATTGGAACCGTACCCAATAATGAAATTAATTTATTACTTACATATACCGCACAAATCAGATAAGTGCGATTTGCATTAATTGTAATCTTGAAGCATTTGTATCCATGAGTGTGCGCCTGCGGCCGGTATGCGACTGGTCAGTGTTTATAGATTAGATGCGCCTTAGGCTAGTTTCCCATATAGATGCTATTTGTTTACATGATCATAGATAGGTAGGTAATGTATCCGATAGATTTAAAGGGAACCCGTATCTGATTTCTCTAGTTTCATATTCTTTAGCTGCAGCAAAAAGGCTTTGTCATTATGTACTAACATTTCTTAACCTGCTAGTAAGATATAGGCGTGAATTTAAAAAATAATATTAAATTTAATACATTAAAACATAAATTTACTGCGAACAGTTTTTGTCAAATAATTATGTACTGTTAGTGTAAAACAACTATATTATATGTATATCATAACATACTTAATGAAATACGTAGATGATAACTCTTATGTAATTTTAATGCGTTAATTGTAACATTATTGATAATTTTCTACTCACATTCAACCATATTCCTATCATTAAAAATATATCAGTAAATATAGATTATTATGTTTCCTAAAGTGATGGTTGTTGCTATAAATACAGAGAGTGTAATGAACTTCATCAATTAGATCCAAAGCTGGCTTCGAGATAAGAAAGCTTGCAACTACTCTTATAACTTCAAAGGCAAATAAGATATCGTAGTTTTCTCAACGATCAGATGGAGTTTTGAAACAAGTCTGTTTATAATTTATCCTCCGTAGTCTTTATGTTTTATGTAAGTTATAGCTCCATATCGGTTCTGTATATAAAGTTTATGCTTATTTCAAAGTAAGAATATATGTATTACCAATCATGATTCGATTTAATAAAATAACAAATTTTCGTTTTGTAATTTTAATTAATCTACAATCTTGACGTGCGAATCTGTAATAAATAACTCTTTGCTACCATTATACAATTTTAATCTGTTCTGTAAAGTTGCTGATTTCGAGAAGTGAAAATAGATAAAAAATGCTTATTAAGACAAGTAAGGAAATATGCCTCGCATAGGGAAGGCCTGTGCCCCAGCAGTGGAGACATTAATAGGCTGATAATGATGATGAAGGCAAGTAGATTATATAACAAAGTAATGTGAAAAGTGTAAGAATTTGTAAGCAAACCAAATTTAAAATATAATAAATAATTCCCTTACTAGCTTACCCGGTTATTAAATGTTATAAACAAGACAAAGCTAATAAAACTAAATAAAAGCTATCTATACCCCTTACAAAGATCACATAGGAAGATATTTGACGAAGATTTGATGAAGATGCAAGTGTTCACAGATGAGTCGTTTTGTGGCCAACCGCTAAATAGCGGTGAAACCTAGAGCTAGAAAATTACATGCATTTCATAACAACTGCCTCCCAAACCACAACAACATAATTGCCCATAAGAGGACTATGATAATAAGAATTAAACAGCAACATAAATAGCCATAATACTTGATGGCTTTATTAATAAACGTAATAAATATTTAATGACTAGCCGATGGTTTAACGAGATGAAAATGAATGGGCTTAACCTTTGCACGTATATGCTGTTTGTAAAAACTTATAATGTTTGTCAATTGTATTACTTACTGATTATTATATTTATACTTTTAAGAATTTAACTGTTAGATTAACAAATATAATAGGAAATATTCCTAGAAAATTCCACGCGGTCCATGTATACGCAGGAGACGGAACGAAAACCGTCTGATGCCTACACCGCGAAGAAGAGGATAATTTATTTTTTTCACGATGCTCTTCAAATGTAATTCTATGTAATGTAAGCTGCTTTCTACATCACTATTCACAATTAAAATATTTTATATCATAACCACAAAAAATAAGTAAGATAACGATTCAAAATACATAATCAGTTTTAATTTAGCTATCGGCGATTTTGTCTAATATCTTAATTCGAAAAGCTCCAAGCAATCATTTCTCACTTTAGACTCGATAATTAACACGCAAATTGTAATTTCAAATTGTAAATCAAGTGTGCAGATTAATTACTTTCTGAAGATATATTTTAATTTAACGAGATACCCAATCTGGCTTGCCAAACCTTGATGCAATTGTTCTTTGTGTGATTTACAATTCGTCGTCTATCACCGTCACAGTTGCTGGACCGAAACGGGTAATGAATGCTGTCCCAGACTTGTTAGGGCCGCTTATTTCCGCATCTCATATTTCTCGTTCAGCCTCATTGTTACAGCTCGTTCGATGAAGCTAAAACTTCAACCATGTATGGTTTACGACCCAGCGTTATCTTAGAGTTATTCAATTGGTACTGATGTCATATTCTTGCCGCTCTGCTAAACCTTTCAGTCTGCAGCAATAATATCTTTAAGCAATTTACTCGCTGTCATGCAAAACAATTTAGCGTGACATGTGACGAATTACTAGCCTACATTTTTCTCTATTATTTATTAGTTTCAATGTTTTAACAAATGTTTCAGTTCCTCGAGAAATCCCGTGAGCAAAGAATGAGTGAAACTGTAAGTTGGCTAAATGCCAATTGTTCCATTTCTTAGTTCGTTATGAACGGCGGAATGATATTAGTTCACAGTTCATATGCGTTCAGCTGACCGATGCTCTGAGACTTAGATATTGAGGTTACATTTATGTTCAATGTACGTGCATGTGTACAGGAAACACGGTTTATGTGAAGCGAACCAAATAATTAATCGCGGTTAATGATATTACGTGTTCCTACTGGCTTAAATTAGTACTAGACGTGTGCATTAGCATACAATCTTTAAGGATTCATACTTTTCGGCGTAATAACATCTATGGGAAGCAACTTTAATAGTTCCTTTTTAAATATTTTTTTATTACTGACGATGATGGTAGATGTAGTGCTTATAATCATTTTGTATCTACAATGACTTTTTTGTTTGATTTCAGTTCAACTTTGTGGGAAGGATTTTAGGCCCCAGAGGTATGACTGCAAAACAGTTAGAACAGGAAACAGGATGCAAAATCATGGTCAGAGGAAAAGGATCCATGAGGGATAAGAAAAAGGTCTGTATTGTTTTCACATTTCAATAAGGAGAAATAATTCAATAGCGTTTCGCTGTGACTCAGATTGGTTTTTCAATTAAGTTACCAATGTATTTATAATACATGTATGCATTATTTTTCATGCAGCCAAAACTGGGATGCGAGTGTATGTTGGTGGAATTAATAATACGTAATGAAGCGTCAAATATTTTTCTTATTTACATGCGTTTTTATGTAATGTCTTTTTAAATTTTAGGAGGATGCCAACAGAGGTAAACCCAACTGGGAACACTTGGCCGATGATCTCCATGTTCTTCTGACAGTTGAAGATACTGAGAACAGAGCAAAGATAAAGCTCGCCAGAGCCGTAGATGAAGTCAAACGTCTGCTAGTGCCTGTAAGTATAATTATTTGAGTTTTTTTAATTATCGAATTCGGTGTCCTTAATCGTGCTCGCTGATTAGGAACTGTTTAAAAGTGTGACCGATAGTATTAAAAAGTTGAATACAATCATACATTTCAGTTTTACTTTCACCATAAAGTCTGTAAATTACAGTAAATTCTAGACTACTTGATCGTCAGTTATGCGGATTCCCGATTATACGGTCTGCCCATACGAATGAATATCTTTAGGTGCATCAATTGAGGTAATATCAATAAACCTAAGTTCTTACAAAACTTATTCTCGAATATCTTAAAGTTGATATACTTGGACTTATCGTTTCTTAAAATTCGTATTTTTTTAAAATTGATTTTTTTCTATAGTAAAGCATAATTTTCGATAAGAAGTCATCCAATAATTCGAATTTTCATTGTATTTAATAATTAAAGATAAAGCATAGCGTATTTATTGAGACATCTGTAAGTCATAAAGTCTTTATTTTGTTTTTCATATATTCAATTTAATGTATGACACCACCGTATGTATAATTATTAAGCATTACGGGTATTGCTACGTAAATACTGAAACTAATATAATGTTCTGACATCATCTGCCGAATGAGTGTTGCACCGTTCGTTACGTTGTTCATTAATGTCAATTAACAAATCACCTTGAATTTTCTATTGAATCGAAATAATAGGCAGTCACAAATATGATATTCTTACTTTATCCCCTTATGACGACATGCCTGGGTACCCTATGTTAATAATTAAATTATTTAATAAACTGATGACATGAGGCCAAATCGTATCTTTATTATATTTCCGATATAATTCAATTGATGATGGTGAATACGAGAAAATAAAATAAATCATAACTAAATTATTAAGTTTTTAGTAGCATTAAGTTACCAATATAGTTACGTTTTAACGCTACATCTCTCTCTCTCTAGGTCGACAATACATCACAAGTGTGCCACCATATTATATCGTTAGCTTTGTTTCGATGTAGCATATATTTATAGTTCTCAGGTACAAGTTCATTTATAAATCTTCGATGAACTATTATCTAACTGATGGTGAATACCGCACGAATATCTGTTCATACGTCATAAGAATAAAGGAACTCAGGCGAGAGACTTTATTTTACGAAAGGAGGTGTCCTGCGGTTTCACTCGCATTAAATTGAGGAAAAAGGTTATAGTGGGTCACGGACCGGATTTTTTTATAGATCTTTTAAAGGGGAACAATTCTGTCATACATGATTTTTGTGTAACTTTTACCGTTTCTGCAGCGCACGCAACAAAAGCTCACAACACAAATGGAATATTTTTTCCCGTGTTTTCAACTTTTAACATTGGTGCTCTACTCCTATTAGTCGTAGCGTTATTTGATATAGTCTTTCTCGATAAATGCTCTCACACAACAAGATTTTTTCGAATCGGACCAGGGAACTACTCTGAGATTAGCGCGTTCAACCAAAGAACACTCTTTATAATAGATCGTCATTAAATAAATCAATCGTTACTTGTCCACAGCAAGCCGACGGCGAGGACGAGCTGAAGAAACGCCAGCTGATGGAGCTGGCGATCATAAACGGCACATACCGCGACTCGAGCGCGAAGGCCGTCGTGCCCGTCAACGGTCAGTGCCTCATAAGTATGGTCGCATTCATGTTTTGTCACTAACACTACCTTTAATACGGGATGTTGCGTGTTGTTTACACTTTGACCAGTAAAACTCTTGACTTGACTCTTATAAATTTATTTTTTGACAATTCGGTTCCCGCAACCTGAGTCCTTAATTTAGATTATATCACGTTTTTTATCACGTCTAAACTGTCCAACTTCATAGACAGTTTGACAATTGAGCGTGATAAATACGAGTTACATATGATATCGCGGTGCTCATGCTAGGGCGCCAGATTTTTTTTTACGAAATCAATCTTGACTTTTAATTTGGAAAAGAAGATGTCGAAGTTTGTTGGTTTGATGTCTTCTTCGTTTAATGCAAATTTGGCTATATACACATCTTCTTTGCTTCACAAATTTATGAGTTGAGTTAGAAAATGAATTTGGTTATCTATAGCCAGTATCTACAGTAGCGCGTACCTAATTGCCGCTAATCTGACTGCTGCAATACTGTGTCTTATTGCATTAAAGTTTTTTATATGATGATTAGTTTTCGTAAATTTTGTATTCAGATAATTTCCATTCTTATTTTGTAATTGGTATTGCTAGATTTTTTGAAAGACACATCCAATTTTTAACAGGAATTGTAGAAATAATAAAATCAAATACTATGTAGGTAATCAATTTAACCAAGGAAAATATTGAAATAAATTGATTATTATCATCTACATACAAAACAGTTCTGCTGATGATTGGTTTGGTAAGCAACACGTTACACAAACTACTAACCTTATTGATTTTGATAGTGCATACCTAAAGTGCATTCTCTTTAACCTACTCCAAAACAATGTGCACTCCAAAAGCATTCCTTTTATAAGACCTATGTCTACAGTTGTTTGAATTCATTCATAAATCTGTCACTTTCTCTGGGTTCAAACATTTTGGTTTGTAGCTTTCTTAGTTTCATTTAATATATGGGTTTGATCAAACGTATGTGCTCATTTATAATCAGTCAGTCATCAGTTTTCATGATTTTATAGTATTTGGACTTACATTTTTCTTTATTTTCATTAAATATAATATCTCCAGTTGTATGTACAATAGTACATATAGCCAAGCCCATTGTTTACGAATGACTCATCGCGGTGACTTAAGATGACTAACTTAATTTATTTACCGCATGTTACGGTTGTTAATCATTAACATAGGATGACTTGACGTCACCTAGTTCCTTATCACAGAAGGCTTAAGGGACCGTTTGATAAGGAAATCTTAAATGTTTGGCTAATATTGTTTTTAAACCATTCATGGACTGGACGAGTTACAGATGTTATTAATTTATTTTTCATCTGGCACTAAAATGGGGAATTGCTTTATCAAGAGAATGTTTTTAGTCAATCGATTATTATTAATAAGTTTAATCGTGTTTTCTCAAACACAAAAAGTAAACTTTGTTTTCGAAGATAATAAAAACTGTGATGAAAGCGCTCACCATCAAGCGAGCAGAATGCATTTTTTATTGGCCAATATATGATTTTACGCCTAATGACCAGTATTACAATACAGTAAACTATTCCTCCGACAGCAGCTTGTTAAATTTCTAACTACCACTGAGGCTAAATTTTGTCACAATTTCACTTTAGGTCACCCCTTTCATTATTCATAGAAGACATTTCGTGCTTAGAAGGCACTTTAAGGCCCACTTGAAGCAAAAAAAATTGCAGCAATTTAATCTCGATTCAACTAAAACTAGATATATCTTATAAAAAAATGTCGAAGAGGCAATGTCAATTTGACATCATTATATGGGTGAATCTAGTTTGAGTTAAATTGAGATTTAGCACATTTTTGCAAGTTGGTCCCTGCTTGCATTTGCAGTTGTTAGGTGGTGGGTCATGGCCCAATCTCCCTATTCCATCTATGTTGAAGGCCTGTGCTCCAGTAGTGGGGACGTTAATACGCTAAGGATGATAGAGGGACGGCTCGTTCGAAAACCAAGGGATGATACTAAATAGGGATGATGACGTGATAAATTAAAACAAAAAATAAGGATAATGGACAGTTATTTTTTCGTTTTGGCATTTACCCAAAAAATTACAATAAACAGATAACAAGATAAAGCGCGTCAATTGGGAGTGGGGGCACGTGACGTCACTTCTAAGTAAAAACTGTATCAAAACGTGGCATTATAAGCAATATATTATCTTTGTAATGTTTTGATTATGTGAATAAAGAAACAATACGTGTACCGATACTTTTTGATAAATTCTATCTGATAGATAGATTAGATGAAGAAAAAAAGTTAGTCATCCGTATTGTCCACGATTTTATTGATATTTTGATATTATACACAGCAAGCGCTTTTTAACAATTCTAGAAATTATAGAAGTAGGTTAAGGTAAGTGCTAGCTTAAGGTATGATTGACATTCGCCGAGTGCCTTGCAGCTGACGAAGAATGGCGGAGGGTGGCAGCAGCGGCGGCCGAGACTCAGCGGCTGCTCGCGCCCGGCGGGGGGGTAACCAGCGTAGGCGGTGTTGCACTACGTACGCAAGCACCATTAGGCGCGCCGTTGATACTATCCCCGCGCATGTCCGCGCCGGGCGCTCAGGCCGGCCTACTGAACGGCACCGGCAGCGCCACCGGCCTCCTGTCCCCGGGGGAGCCAGCGCACCAGCTGATCTACGCGTCCCCGTACGCTGACTACGCGAACTACGCCGCGCTGACTGCGGGCAATCCGCTGCTGACGGCAGAGTACGCGGCGGCGGATCACACGGGTGGGTTGTTCGCCCGTTGATTTGGGGACGGGGTTTGATAACACTGGCTATTTAACTGTCTTTTAATTATACAAATTGGTCCCCGTTGCAGCAACACTGAAACACGACAAAAATCAGCATTTATCAAAATACATATTAAAAATAAGAAAGATCACCTGTTTTGAAAAAAAAAAAAGTTGTGTAGATTTTTTTTAGAATACTTATGGAAATTGCGTTAGATGTTAAAATAAAGATTTCATCAACTAGATTGGCAACGAATCCATATTTTTTTTGAGAAATGGAAATATTTTATGCTATTGGGTTAGATCTTAAAAAAGGGCTTCCCAATCTATTTCAGCAACGAATGCATTTTTATATTGTTTGAGGAAACTAAGTCAAAGTTTTATTTTTAGGTTCATAAGTATCAATTTCATCTTAGTAGATAATGTCAATAACGGCTATATCAATATTGTGTTGCGTTGGTCATGCTAATTTTTCTTAAGATTTTCTGAGAAATGATTATTACTACAATGGTTTTTTTTTTAATTTTTGCATATTTATGCAAGTTTTTATTGTAGCAATTATCACGATTTACGTTACTCAATTGTTTTTGATGATGTTCATGTTACACATAAGTTTAAATATTGAGTTTTTAAACTACAGTTTGGTGTTATCAAACGTCGTCGTTCAAATATAAATACTAACTTAAAACACGGTACCGGGATTAAACCTGAAGTATGCGTTACACTCAAATTTAGTCAATATAATTAATAATTACAGGACGTGAGAATTTTAGAAAAATAGATTACCTAGAGAGTTTCCCTTTAATTGTTTATTTATTTTATTTAGAAATAATAGATAACCGCATGTTTCTATCAACGGTTTTTTATATAGTTATTTTTTTATTTATTTAATTACTTCACACCACGTGACCAGATTGCATGCTTGTTGTTTTCAATCATCGTCTTGCCTTAACTCCGTCTTTATCATTGTCCTCTTATATTTGATAAAAATAATAATTTAACACAAGTTAAACACAGTAAGAAAATAGACTTTAACCGTACTAGGACTGCGTTTATAGAACGGAAAATATTAAAATGATAATTAGAAGAAAATAGTATAATTGTGATCACCTAAAAATACAATTCGGTGACCTAAAAATTAGGTAGTTGTATTTTTATGATCATTTACTATTTTTTTTGTGATCATTTAAACGTGTGCCTTATAGAACTAACCGACTAATTTAAAAAACTTATAACACATGGCTTAGAGTATCTAATTATACTGTGTGTTAAATGAATTCTTTTGATGGGGTTTGCAGCGTCGAGATATCTACTCGCTGGTTTTTGACAATGACCGGAATCCAACCAGCCTCCCATAAGATACGGAAGGCTGCATGCGACGTATCAACCAACGCTACAATATTACCGTCCTTGATATACGATACCTTATATTACGCTTCAAATAACCCACGGGACGACTCTTGTAAAGTCATAATAAAGCCATGATCAATCGTAGTTTAAGTTTAATTGTTTTAAGTACGATTATTAGCTTAGTGTCTCGAACATTTTGTACCTACAATGTTATTATCTATGATTTTTATTGTTTTTTTTTTATTATTATTTTACTTTATTTATTCTCCTCATCTGTTTTGTACAGTATCATGCAAATTATATTTTGTTTTGCGAACGTCAAAGATATATTTATATAACAGAGAAAAATATTTATTGAATAAATAATAATAATATATTTATTATTAAACAAAACCGTTGCCTCATGTTAGAGTTTAATGGCAGTTTATAATACTTAATGATATAGTTTTTCTGCTAAAGCGGCGATTGTTAAAGTTTTGTATCTAACCTGCCAATAGAGGTATTTTAAGTTACCGATGTTTCTTATACAAAGACACAAATCAAATACCGATATTATTTATTTTTATTTATTAACTATATCACTAAGTCATAGAGTCCATTATAGTTCTTGTGATATAACCCTTGCTTGTAACATAACTAATCTATTAACAACTATGTTGTAGATCCAATCTCTTTTGGTGGTCCTATTTACCCAGACAAGATTTAGTCCATTTTACTTCAATCAGAGTATGAGAAGAAAAGAAAGAAGAAAAGTTGACAAAAAAATGTATGGCATAAACCATTAAATAAAATTATGTTTACACAATACATAAATAAATGTAGTTATACAATACCTGATATACAAATTATATTATAATCCACAATTATGTACCTACTTCAAGAAAAGCTAATAGTTAGGTATACTGATTGAAACTTGCATGCATTATTCTTTTCTACATACTTAGGTAATGTGGGATTGTGGGCATTGTAGATTATTATTGATAATGTAAAACATATCAACTAAATAAAAAAAAAAACTGGAACAATGAACCTAAAACTAAAAACCTTAAAAAATATATTTAACATAATAAATGATATCACAATTATGAAATAAAACACCAAATTAAATGGAATCGTCAATAATACTTTTAGTAAATACATGTATTAGGTTCTGTAGTCACTGTCATAAATGGGTTCATAGGACCATCAATGTTAAATTACTCGTACATTGAGACTTTTGAGCATTTTCGCGAGTTGTGTAATTTTACCGTTTTGCATGTCGTTTCTTATATTTCGGCAAGATTTTCCAATAAATCTGTTTTCACTTTTATTTTGTTAATAACAGTAATTTTTTATTAACCCCCAAATTATACGAAAAGAATGATCGATTACAAGCAAAAGGGACCAAATACTATTTCAATTTTATCCAAAAACAAAATACGTACCTACATATTGTAACTTCTTTTAACTTTTAACATGACTGACAAAATTAATATGCGACTTAAATACACTCAAAATAACGATCAAAACTGAAACATTCTAGGCGGTTATAAAATAAAATGCTAAAGAATTGTAACAACAACAATACATAACGATGAGATTCTGTTGTTGTTACAATTTAACTGTAATTTATTAATTTATTAGCCATATTATTATATTTATGAACATACCATAGGTTAAGTATTATTTTTATCTTAAAAAGATTTCTAGTTAGGTTAGAAAAGAGTGAGCTTTATGAAAATTATATTATACATCCGTATATTATTATGTAGGTTTATTAAACCGCAGTTAACACTGTAGTCAATTTATTTAAAATAAAATAAACTAAAAGCCAGCCATTACCTGTACCTTTGCCGGGCTATTCGGGCTCGCGATATAAATGTTTTATTTTGTTATCATTTCCAAAGCAATAAATAGTTAATCTCTAGGACTAAGCATAATAGTAGCGGTTAGTAATACTGCCATCATAAGCTTTTTAAAATAAAATAAAAGTTTTATATCACGACAAATATATGTATTTGGCAGTGATGGTTAACTGAACTGTCCATTTTATGATTTGATAAATTTTAAGAACTTTTTGGAGTAAGTAGGTAGGTAGGTGAAATAAATTTTCTTTCAGCATTTAAAATCTGTGGAACTACTTACCTACTCCGATATATTTAGGCAATGATTTCTTTTTTCAACTGGCAGTGTTGATTGAAGGTTTTAAAGGTCTGTTGAGAGGCAGATGTTAAATATGCGTGTGCCGCTAGGTGTCGTGCGGAGGGCGGGTCGGCTCGCGCAAATGAGGGAGCACCCTTACCAGCGCACTGCCTTACCGGCGCCTTAATTCCCGCGAAAAGCTCTCACGCCGCCATTTTGTTCACAAGGTGAGAAGCGCGCGCAACCACGCATGGCTATGATGAATACGTTTGCTTGCATTGTAGACTTGGTGTCCATCCCACCGTGGAAGCACTCAACTTTTGTTGAACAGAAAAGAATAACAGTACTATTCATTATATTTATAATTAAAAAAAAATGATTTTTCCTACTTTTGATGCTAAAGCTTTTCAAATTTATGTTTCAATTATAAACGTTGAGTACTTCGGAGAGTCACGCATATTTTTTTTTGTTTTCTTAGCAATCATATTCGTCAGCATACGTGGGTGCCTATGCTTTACTGTCTCTTTGTGTCTTTATATTTTATTTATTTAATTGTGTACTTATTAGTTACGTTTCTTAGTTAGTATGATGATAGGATGTATTATGTCCATCGCTACTTCATACCGGATCTGAAGTGACACTGCATAATTTGAGAACTGTGATTTTTATATTTCTTATTTTGTAGATTTTTAGAACTGTTACATGTTGTGATGTGAGGCATTAAAGATGCATATTATGCTCTGAGTATGTACTGTATTATTCTTTAAAGTTACAATTTTCGGAGATTTTAAATACTGTTTAAATGATATCACAACATGTCACATTTTCCTTCGACCAGTCATGATATTCTTTTATTGGGATATCAACAATTTTATCGGGAAGAAGGATTAATTTTCGTTTAAACTACTGTTTTATCAGCTTATAGCTTATGTTGTTGTTCGTAATACTTACCAAATATATCCACGGTGGTGCTAAGCCGGGTTGTGCGATCCTTCTTTCCAGTCTCTCGCCCAGTATTAGTCAAAGGGATAAGCATTTTCAGTAAATTGTGCCATCGATCCAGTATTATTCACAATGCACATCCTTTGACTTGACATTTTCTTAATCATCACAACTTTTTCTTAGTCAATATAAGATTTTTATATGATTTTTTTTAAACTAGTTGTTTCTATTTTTGCCTTAGGTATAAAGAGCTTTCTTATTAGAAAGTGTTATTATTAAGATGCACTTGTGTCCTTGTGGATTTAAGACGGCATGTGCCGATTACGTATTCTCACGCTTTATTATGAAATGATTATTTCAATATCATAAAAATCATTTCATAAAATTACGAAAATGCTGTTCGTAATTTTATGAATTTTTTTTTCTATTATGAACGATGATGTTTTGTAAAGATATTGTTTCAATTGTTGATTGTGTAAATAAATGCATTTTCAGAAGATATACATGCAATAAATTGTCTGAATTTTAAATAAGAGTTTTCTTTACTATATTTTGTTAGATGCGCGATGTAATATATATTTTTAATAAAACGATAAGTCGATAAAGTTGATGACGTGCAGTCATTTGGTCAATTGTAGCCTCACACGACTAACATTGCAACTCCACAAGGCCAAGTTCCCGTTTTTTGACATAATAATAATTATTAAGTGCACTATCATAACTGCTATTGTCACAACTTGCAGATTATTTGTAACTATGTATCTATAATATATGAGTCACTAACATGCAAATATGTAATGAAACCGAACTATCACAATCTTTATTAACAAATTTATATTATGAGAATGCTACCATATAAAACATTTTGTTATAATAAATATCGCAGCAATGTTTTTTGTATTACTTACATACTTGCATCTGGGTGCTATGGTTATACATAAGTGATAAAAAATATTATGCTTGTTTTTTGCGATAATGTTCGACGCATCGGATATACTCTAAGCTTAATATGTGTCGAGCATTGTCCATTTGGGAACTATTGGGCATTTAATCCTATATTGTAGATTATCATTATCATACTAAATTACTTTAACATTTTTCAACCATTAACTGCGTAAACTAATGAATTATGTACCAGATACAATCGGGCCACTTACGATCGAGAACGTAACATAGTTCGCGCCGCGAATGCCTGATAGCATCCCCATAATACTTGTTTTTATTAGATTCTCTGTGATTATTATAATTTCCGCACCAGTCTTATCAATCCGAGTTCACGGTTTATAGCTTTTGTTGAATAGCTGCATGTCGGCCTTCATGCAAAATTATTATGATATGATCTCGATATTCAGTTTACGGTAATTCTCAAATCCTATGTATATCAATTATTATTTTGCTCCATTATTAACGTAACCATCTTGGTAATTGAGCTCTGGTAATTTGACTCTTATCGAAAATTCTATTTCATTGCAATGAAAACATTATTCTATCGAATAAAGTCTGTAACAAAATTGATATTCATCAACGTTATAGACATATTAGTAAAGATCATTATCAGCTCTGTTATAATATTATAGAGAATCATATACGCCCATATTAATCGTTGCTGTACCTATGTATAATTTCTTTTATTATATTTGTCAATAAACCGAGCTAATTTGCTTCAACGAGTCCTCGAATCTCAGTACCATTTTTAACTTTACATCCTATCGGATCACGATTACTTTAAAAACTATTTTGTGAATACGAGGTGGTTGCGATTAGACAGTTCTCTCGCGTTTATGAATATCGCTATTCCACAGTATAAAAAATCGTTTAGTTTCTTGACACCTTTTATCTATAGTAAATTACATATTTAGTATAACAACATTCATTAAATAAATTTCCATACGGGCTATCCTCGCACATATCTCTATAATACAATCAGTTTCATTAGAGCTCTGAAATTATAACATTCTTAGTCTTTGGCAATGAGGGTTTTTTGGAATGACGGGCGCCATATGGCAGCACTGAGCCGAAAGGTCTAGTCATCCGTAAAAAACACGTATGTCTTCATAGTCTATGAATCAATTTAAATTCTATTTCGATTAATTCGCGCCAAAAACTTCATACAAAAGACCTCATGTCGCAGTGACGCCAACTGGTGACGTAAATTTTGCCAAACTCCCTCATTCGCCGGCAGCTCAACAACAGCGTTAAATCGTACCTCGATTGTGTGGCACTCGTGTCGGACCATGACATTTTGACGATACTAACATTCTGTTTTTCTCTCTTCTCGTTAACATGGTAGGTGAGTGCTAACGGCGCTGAGGAACTAACAGGAGAAGCGGCCGCCCCACGTCCGACCTCTAGCCGCGCGTAACATTATCATCGGAACATCGACCACCATGTAGCTATAGCTGTTGGGCCTATCACGTTAACAATAATATGTATTATAATAGTCTAACTATTAACAATTTATATGCCTGTTATGTTTATAACATGATGAACTTTATTAACATTTTTTTATATATTTCTTTTTTTTTGATGTGGCACACGCCATCGACTATATTTACTATATTGTACTACTGTTGTCGCTTGATCGTGTTGTTGTTGAGCACGAGTGTGGTTAGGAACCCCGACTTTAACGGTGTTAAATGTGTGTTTTTATTTTTGTGAGAGTGATTCAATCGAGCAAATTCTCGATTTTACATCAGCCTAGTGACCCGATTCAATTAGATTAACACATTTAACGTCGTTTTAATAGAATTAATTTTGGAGGAGCAAATCTTTTCTTTCTCTACATTGACAAAAAGTCAAGCATCTACTTAATAAAGTCGATATGACTTTCATTATTCTTTGATTTCGAAAAACATGCTATATAAAGCATGCGTTGTTGTGAAAATTTGCGCTAGAATGACAGAAGAAAACGTCAACCCGCCATCTTGAAAACAGGAAATAAGATGGAGCTTTTCACATGACAGAAATCAAGTAAGTGTATGCGACGAAATTGTTTTTATATACATTTCAGTGCTCCGAAGATACTAAAAGTCACAGCACAATCCAGGAAGGGAGGTTGATTTTAACATTTCATAAACTCATTGACCCGTATATTTTTCGGCAATATTTTTTACTTAAAACCAAAGACTAATGTAACGTATTTTGAAAGCTATGTATTCAATTCAAAATTCATGTCTTCCTTTGAGAAATTCACTTTGAAACCGGGCAATGAGTAACATAGGAATGTACGTGAGATATTTAAATCTTTTTTTTTTTTAAATCACGGTATAAATCATTGTATTTTACTTTATTTTAGTGCTAAATATTTATAAATAAATCTTATAAGACGTGCAACCCAAGTGCCTTAATGTACAATTGCACCGTCTTGGTTCTATATTAAATTGTTAAAATATGCTTATAATGCTAGTTAAGTTAGAAGAGATTAATTGATTGTTAAAACTGCTAAACGTTAATTTTATTGGCATCGATTTCGAAATATTGAAGTTAATGGTGTCCAAATATTTTCGTAATTTTAGTATTTTTTATTACAAATTATAATTACTAGTATTAAGTGCCTTCTTTACAATCTCTATCGGAATCTCCGGATCGCGGTCTCGAAATTTCTACATTAATTTATGTTCTAAAACTATATTTACAATTGAAAAAAAGTAATCTCCACTGATTTTATGATCAAATCTCATTCATTTACTCGTTCCGCAGATCAAATTGAAGTAATTAAGGCAAATTATTCTCTATACGTTATGTAAGTGTTATGTAAATAGCTTACATATTATATTGTTTGGAAGCAATATTTCGATTACATTTTAAGTTAAGTGCAATAGAAATGTTTATATCTAAATGAAATATATACCTAGGTAATAAATCTCAATTTAAAGTTTTTACAAGCTATATAGAGATCTGATATTGAGATTAATACACTAGATGAAGTAAACGTCGCAGATGTTATTGAATAAAGATTACTTACTTGTTAAAAATATTAACTTATATGTTAGTTTATAGTAATTATAACTAAATGAAATACATTCAGGCTATGCATTTAGGTGCTTCCAGAATCATTGACGAAATGTCAAAGCATAGTTTTGATTTAGAATACCCAAATATTGGCATTGTTCTAAGACATTACTTACCTATATCCGTACTGCATAATCTTTTTCATTTATTTAATTACATTAAGGCTTAGTTTCATAATATGATAGTTACAGACGATTACATTGTTCATAATTTCTTTAAACTTGGAAGTTGTTAACACTCCGTCCATGATTATATCGTTTAAGTACTTAAATTTTGGTCTCTTACTAATCACGCATAGATACAAGTCTAGTTGAAAGGAACATTGTGTTAACAATTTATAAAATATTTCTCTATGTTGCTATTAAGCGTTTTGAGTTAATCTTGATCAGTAAACTTGATTTTGTTTAAGTTTTTACTATGAGATAAATTAGTACCAATCACCAAATTCGTTTTAAGGACGAATCCGTAAAACGAAGCCGTAAACTAGCTTCACACTTGACTCTATTCTTTTTTGCATTTTGCTGTTTTTGACAAATATTATATTTTGGCATTTTTACAGAGCGATACAATCGGTATTGCTTATTTGCCCATACGTGAAACATTGAAGCAAATATTGCGAATATTGTCATTTCTAGAGCCACCATGAAGAATTTAGTGTTTCGGGAAGTAACTTTTTTAAAAAAAGTTTAGAAAAACGTTCTATTTTCGATCACCACACAGAATCTTCTGGTCCTGCTGAATTTAACTCAATTTTGGCGTCGTCAGTAGTAATCGTCACTTAATTTCATTTCTAAAACAAACGAATGGGCTAATTAATTTGTTATATTTGTTAATAAGAAAAAATGCTGACACACAACTGTCACCTAAGGCTTTCACACTCTTCCTTAGTACCTTATCAGTAAAAGTTAAAATATTTTTGTTCCAGTATGTTTACGACCACAAATGTTTCAAATTTTCTTAAAAAAGCAGCAGGATTGAGGATTTCTAAACAAATAAGTTTGACAGTCTTGTAAAAGTCATTTATATTTGTGAGCTACAAACATAAATGAGTCAATATTTGATTTATAAATTATATGATGAATTTTAAGTTATCGTTACATTTCAAACTCTTGTCTTTCGGTCTCAATGTTATTTTAAATCAAGAAGCTACTAATTACTGACTAGCCAATATGGTAAAGGTTTAATTAAAACTTTTACACTACACTGCACAATTAACATAAAGGCTTACACTTAACTATGTTTTAACATAAATTTTACACTGAGAGTATATAATATTTTATATTTCATCGCTTTATCTTTATGTGTTCATTATAATAAATGAATATTATTGTTATACCTAATAATTGTTTTGTACAAATAACACATCTATATACAAAAGAAGCATTTAAAGATGAAATCGTAAAATGCATATGCCATAAGAAAAATAACCAGTAATGAAAAAACTCATGATAAATAACGATTATATCTCCACTTTGTAATGGGAGTAAATGTACAAACTAAATGTAACGGTCTGCTTTATATCTAGTTATATTGTGTTATGTTTCATAGCAACATAAAATATTATTTCGCAGTAGTCGGATAATAAGTATTGTGATTTCACACCACGCATTCGACTAGTCATTTTGGCATTGTACAGTCTCTCAAAAATATTGACTTAATTTCAATTTTATCGTACCTATGCTCTAAATCTATTTGCAATAAAAGTGAAATATTAATAATCCATTTAACAAGTGGTAGCACTAGGGTTTTACGTCACTGAACTTCGTAACTAATCAGCATAATCCAAATAAGAGTGTTGTCTATCATATAAGAAAGACACATGTGTGGAACAAAATCTCCTGTATCCATCTGTATTTTCCAAAACGCCTACATACAAGCAGCACTTTCAAAAATACCTACTTAATTCTTATTTCGTCGACTTTGTGTAGATCACAGAAATATTCTGTGATGGAGACAATATTTCAATAAATTTTAATCTTAGGTGTGAAACCTCTTTACTGTTTTTATCCTCTACTGTTGTTTTGTGTTTTGAAACATGTTCAGTGCCATCAGCAGACAGGCTTAATAATGTCTTTGTTTTTTATTAAATTGTACTTATTATACTTTATGGCAATTCACTAATAAAGTGCCTTTATTGATCTATGTACATACTTATATTATGATTATTTTTCAAATAAAGTATTATTATAGTAAAAAAAAAGCAGATGTCTTACATAAATTGTTTTTGAAAAACAAAAAAAAAATATTATAGAATACTTTTAGCTAAGAGAGATTGTGCATATTATGTATGTTTTGATGTGTGTTTAAGATTGATTCGGCATTAAGTAGTAAATATTTTGAAAAAGTACTTGGCTATTTCAATTCCTACCCACACACCATGTTTATATTACCTACAAAGATTTATTACGAAACTGGGTATATTTATAAATGGAGTTCATTTATTGAAGGGATATAGAAAATCTCTTCTACTATATTTCTTAACCAAAAAAGAAAAGAAAGCCTTGCATTGTGTACTTTTTGAGACAGTTAAATTAAACTTACTACTTAAAGTCATATGGTGATTTGTTGAACAATATCTTTAAAGTTTTTCATATCATTGAACAATATGAACCATATACTCCTAAATACACCGTACTTAATATTACTGATATTACTTAATACATTTTTTTAAATATTATGAACCTCATAGTTACAACCTCAAAAATAATGTAAATGGCGTCTTTTAAAAATATTTTATCAGGCAATCCTCTACCATGAGGTGTGATAAAAGTTTGGAGAACTATTCTGGGCATAGGTAGGTACACCTGAATAAGTTCCTAGTCTAAAAAGCCAATTATTTTGTATGTGACTTTGCTTAGCAGTTTATTTGATGAACTTTATATAAAAGAAAACCAGAAAGATCATCCACAGTCATGAAGACGCCATCTGTTGAGCAACGGTTAAGACGCCATCTGTTGAGTAACGCTACCTCTAATACCGACACAAGCGCCATCTGTTCATTGTCTCTCAAACAAATCGCAAAAGCAAGGCGTTGCTAAGTCTTGCCTTAAGTTGATGTAGATGATCACCATCAGTACCTAAAGGTAGCACTTATCTTAATTTTTTAAGTATGCATGCTTGTTACTCGTCCTATATAAGAATTTGATAAATTGTCCGCAAAGTTAAGAAAAAAATTAAGAATATGCCTACGTAGATGATATGATTTTGTATCTACACTAACGAAATATATGTTTTAATTTGTTTTATTGAAATGATTGACGATGATGATGATTAATTTGAAAAATAGTATATTTCGCCCATTTTTCTCGACAGCAAAAAAAACTGAATGGTGTACGGGAAAATCAATTTTTTTATTAGACGGTAAATCCGTTATTTCGGTTACTCAGTTCTCAGTTTATATTTATATTTTAAAGGAATTATACAAATTTAATATAGACAGAAAACAATAGTTATTTAGGTAAGTGCCTATAGGTATAAACCTATGTTAGCAAGTCTAGATATTACTTAATACCTAAAAGTATTTAAATTAGATACAGCCTACAGTGATTAATACAGTGCTTTTAAAAGATTTTCCAGTTCTAGGATAATGGAATTTTAAATCCGCCTGCACTAGCCAGTTCTCCAGTTCGTAACGCAAGATTTTATGCCCATTTTAATACATCCAAAATTCACCTTTATTGCATTGTAACAAGTTTAAATGCATTTTAAAATTGCATTCAGTTCCATGAGAACGAACAGTTGGCTGGGCTGGGACTGCCGAGAGGCGGGTTGTGTGTCCATATATTTGTTGCTGCGACGGTTTCGCTTCGCAACGGCATAGCCACTTCTTTTACACCCCTTTATGCCTTTGTCAGGCATTTCGAATGCAAATTTTAATGTTTCCCCAGTTCAGTTGTGGGTCCGACGGGGATCCCCAATTTAATGGTGGTCAAACACGCAGAAGTATTCCCTTATATTTAGACGGACAACAATATGTAAATACGTCCTTTCATGATATACCTAGATGGAAGGTATTTCCCATATAATAAAGAACTACGGTAGGTACTTCAGTATTTACTGCACAAGTTAGACGTACCTATGCATAACAAAATATTCCATATCAGACACAGACATGAATACCTAAATTCATGTCTATTTATAGAAATTATCCATCGCCACCCATTAAGCGACATCAATATTTCTCAAAAGGTCCTTGATTGCGTATGCGATGAATGGAATTTGATGTCGCCTGACTCTGACACGAACACGAGTCGGCGACGAGCCCTGTTATTAATACAGCTGCTCTACGATTACTTTGATTTATATGCATGAGCTCTTTCTAAATGATGCATAATTGGAACGCACTCTTTATTTCTATCGATTATGTGTAGCTATGCAATAAATCATCGTCATAGGTAAGCACGATGAACTCTTATTCATAAATTGGAAGGAACTGGAAAAAAGATTGGACGTCACTCGTGTCGGTGCTCCGAAATTATGTCATAAAAATACAATTTATTAGCGCATTACTAAAGTTTCGGTTATAAAAATCCAATTTACTACATCAGAAATGGGAAGGTAAAAAATTCCAATTACGTAAAAAGAGCTATCTGAGTATTAAAAAGTAGAAGAGTCGGATTTGGCCGTTCCTAGTAGAAGTTAATTCAAAATACAACAAAGTCTTACGTTGGCTCGTTGAATTGAAAGTTTGGTTGGAGAAAATTGCTTTTCATTTCAACATTTTAGTGTAAGTTATACATAGGTAAGTGCATAGGGAGGTTTACGTAAACGTGCAACGAGCAATGATGTCCAATAGAGGCAGCGTGATTGTGTATTGTTAATGGTTTAAAAAATATGCTATGCTGCGCCAAAAGTAAAAGAAGAGTAGTTTTTTTTTACTAGCGGGTATTTGAGCTGAGACATCTCTCCTGATGGTAAGTGATTACTGTCGCCCATAGACATCTGCAACAACTGGAGTATCGCAAATGCAATGCCGGCCTTTGAGGAAGGTGTACGATCATTTTTTGAAGGTTTTCGGGTCGTATTTGTCCTGAAACACTGCTGGCGACAATATATTCCTCAGTTTTTCTTTATAGATAGGTCCAACAAATAACTTCACCCCCTGACCACCTGATGTTAAGTAAGGGCGGAAACCAGACGCGAAGAAAGCCGGTACAGCAATTCTACCTGCCACACCAGCCAACCTCACCCTGCCGGCCTGCAGCCTCAGTACACTAGCCGTGGTATGGACGATGGAACGCGCTTAATGCCATCAGTTCAAGGCATAATTGAAGAGGCTCGAGATGTTTACTCACCTCCTAATCGTCTATGCTGCGGATTGAGTGCCACTGTAACCTTATCAAAGCATCGTGCAAGTACTTGGCGGAACCATCCCAGAGGTGCGAGCAATATTCAACGCAAGACCGCACCTGCGTCTTGTACAACAAGAACAGTTGCTCAGGCGTGAACAAACGCCGCGCCTTATTCAGGACTCCGAGTTTACGTGAGGCCCCTTTTATCACGCTTTCGATGTAATTCTTTTGATTCAAGTCACAGCGAATTTCCATACCGAGCATGGTAATAATGCTCTCTAGCTCCAGTGTTGTGCCCTGAAGAGAAGGACAGGAAAGATATGGCGATGTTTTTGCCGTGAAAGCGCAGATCTGGGTTTTCTTAGCACTGAACTCAACCAAGTTCTTGGTGCCCCATTCGGAAATGTAGTCTAAAGCCTGATTGAGTTCAATTACAATATTCTTCTGTTTCTTCTTGGTTTCCGCCTGTCCAGCCGCGGCATGACCGAGATATCCCTCATGCACTGTATTATCGTCTGCATAGTAATGAATAAAGCTCAAAAAGATAATAAGAATTGAGAATAAGGAATAGGTACACATATTATTTCCTTACAAGAACTTCAGACTTGACAATTCCAAAGCTGTGTGGCTATGTAAAAGCATCAAAATTGATGTATTAATATTTAATGTTTACAAAACTGGCACTTAATAAATAAATTATTGCCAAAATCAATTTAATAAAAAGAAGATTGATGAAACGTAAGAATCCAATTTGATCCCCGGACACAAGCTTAGACTCCCATTTGTTTTTGCCTAACAAAATAAATTCAGGGTTTTACAGGAAACACTTTGAAAATTGTGCCTTGGCAAGACCGACCGATCGTTGGGCCGATTTGTTCGGAATTTTCAATAATAAATGGGTAGATTCGTTTTGTCGGATTGTTTCGGTGGAATATCGGTGCGTGTGCAAGGCAGGGGTACCGGCGAGGGGCAGTCGGTCGTAAAATTGCACCCGACCTGGGGAAACATCTCAAGACGGCTGTGCATTCTTATTGGTATAGTATAAGGAAAATGTTAAGACTATCTACCTAAGAAGTAACTTTTGAAACGCAAAAGGAACTCGTGAGTCATCTGTATTAAAGTACATGTTAGTATTTGTACCAGAAATTCAGACACCTAGTAGGTAGGAACGATAAATTAAAATTATTTAGATAGGTACTTTAAATTTTAACTTTGTTACCCAGGCTTGCTAATTGCTGATTTAGACTGTTTGACTTCAAAATGATTTACGAGAAAACATTAAGTTATAGTAAAATATGGTGGTAAATAAATGAAAATATAAAGAAAACAGTATCTATAGTTTCATTGTTAAAATGCTTTTAAGTACGAGTATTTTGTGATAGTTACACAATGTTACCTATTTCTTATGGTACCTTTAACTGAATATTACGATACGTTTAAGAGTTTTGGTATTAAATAAAGCCTGTCGCCGCGAGGCTTATGAATCAATTAATATTTTGCAGTTCTTTTGCAATTGCTTTTTCAAAGTATAGTTGCCTTAACAAATGATATTACTTTATGCATCTGAAATTTACACAAATACTGTATTATTCAAAAATCAACCCGGACTTACACCAGTCAGGGGTGGCGGGGTCATAAAAACTACTTCCCCTAAGTCCGTGAGGTTTATGCGACACTGTTTACTGGCAACACTCTTTTTCCTACACTTCCCTGTATATACTTTCTCACTTTTATAACACGAAAAGGCTATAGATATCCAGTATCTGGTAATGTGTGCACTGTAGTTTGAATGATCAAATGCACCATTTGATTTGATTATATTTTCCTATGATTTTCAGAAAAATTCTAAGCGCAACCTATTTTAAGCCATATCAATCATAATTCTAATTTTATCGAAAGAATTTTTTACAACAAAAAACACTACTCAAGCACTTCTTGGCTCACAGTCACGCGCGGACCGTTGAAAAATCAAGATGCCGTAGGGCTCCGAGAGAAAATACGAAAAAATATTTTTAGTACGTAATGTGTCGTTATTTATTTTTCTTTTAATACTA